CACTCTTCTCAGTCTGCTGATTGCTTGCTGGCCTCTTTTGCTGCAGTTTAATAGTAACACTATTGGAAGACATTTACCATTTCTTTAGATGCTGTTTTAATCAATGAAAGAATAGAGTTCTGAATCTACACCAGGCCAATCTGCTTTGAATCTGAACTCTAAAGGCTTTATCTGAGCACGGCACATGATTGCAAAATAAAGACATAAAGATCCACAGACACATTTCTGACCCTCCTCTTCACTTTTGTTCCTTCATGATCCTGTTCACCTTTTTGTAAATCTTCACTTTGCTATAATACCATTTAGACAGTAGAACAAAAATATCCCACAAATAATCTGACACAATGTCCCATCAATGAACTCACAAAAATACTGAGATGTTGTTGTTATGGCTTGGTTGATGATTGGATAATTGGTTAACACAAATAAAACTATACCAAAGGGTAGTAAAGAAAAGCTAAAAAGCATTTACTGATACTTGAGGAAAACAGCATCACTTCAAAACATGCTAAGCACAAAACAGAATGATATGAAGGTCTCCCAATGTTGGACAAGGACGTGTGGGGGGGAGTTATTCACATTTCTCACTGTAGGGAAAGTCTTAGGCCAGGATATAAAAAGTCTTTTGACTTTAAATCAGCTTAAATCTTCCAAATTAAAAAAATAATAATAATTACAAAAAAATAAATAAACATACTGAAATTCTATACCATATGCCATGAAATGTTCACCAATATATTTTTTAAATCTTGAAGAAACTGACCATTTTTTTAAAAAATAGTCTAACAATTGCCACATATAAGATGATAAAGAATAAACTTGTGTCACTTGCTTTCACCCAACACAGTTCTACTCATTGCCCAAACAAAACATAGACAAAAAGTAGATACTAGGATTTAGAGGAGCTATTTTATTGTTTTGAAATATTAAAAGTGTATAGTACATTACAAAACAGATAATTAGTGTGTCAGTTCAGATTTGTCATACCCTGTCACTTGATACATTTCATAAGCTAGTTCATTGCAATGAGTGAATTCCTTAGGTCTATGTTTTGTTGTTTTTGTTTAACTTCTCTGGAAGAATTACAAAAGAATCTTCTTGTTGAATGGAAAAAAACATGTGGGCAATATGATGACACAGACACATAGATTCATAAGTAGAAAAAGACTCTGGCAGCCTTCCCCACTTAAATTGTCATTTAACATTACTTAATCAGCCTAAAATAGGTCTCTACATTGTGTCTCCACATTTCCACCATTGACCTTGAAGAGCACAGAGATTCACGAAAGGTTTAAATGATATCAAATTTCCATTTATAAAAATTGTGATTATACAAAAACTAAGAAAAACAAAAAATAATTCCATTGCCGACTCTAGAGTCAAAAGTATCTTCCTGACTGATATAACATAAAAATGGGTATAAATTTCATATTTTGATTTTAGTTTCAAAAGATTAATAAGTATTGAGTAGGAAAAACCTGGCTTAAAACCTCCATATAAAAGGATCTAGAATTTTAGCTAACAGACTGAACAGGAAACTATAATCTAATGCAAATAAACTTAGACTTCATTAATGTATGGATTTTGTTGGCATAATGAGCATAGCTCTGCTGCATTTTGTAGAGGTCAGCTCACCTCTGAAGCTCACACTGAATTAATGGTTTCACATTTTTGAGAAGCACTGGCAAAATGGTGGGGGAGGAAGTCAGAAAAGTGCTCAATATAGCAAAGGGTGCAGAATTCATATCATTCAAAGGGCTCTCAAAGGAACTATCTTTACTATCTTTCTCCTGAAGACAAAACTAGGCATTATTAAGATGGAAACAAGAGAAAAGGAGAAATGCAAGAGTTTTTTTTTTTT